CTGTGCTCCGGAGCGGGGGAGGCCCGGGCAGTGAGAGGCGCGCGTACTGCAAAAAAAAAAAAAAAAAGTGTCTTCAACACTCTTTGTATATAGCTTTGGACCAGATAGGTCTAATGGTGCAGTGGGAAAAGTATGGGGTTTAGAGGGAGATAAACTGGTTTCAAATCTCTGCCCCACCGACTATTGGCCAGACACCCTTAAGCAAATTTCTCAGTCTCAGGGAGCTTTCCACCACCAAGAAGGGGCCATCACCTGCCTCGTGAGGTTGTTGGGATGGCTGCCTGTGGTCACGTGTGGGAAGAACTTAACCCAGGGCCCAGCTCGGAGGAGTCCTCCTCCCCACTCCTCATGCCTCTTCCCCAGGGTTCTCAGCACCTGGCCTCCTACCGAAGGAGGATCAACAGCTTGAAATGCCCTAGGCAGAGAAGATACTGCATCTCGTTATTTCAGTTTCATTGTTATCCAAAATGCTCTAAAAACTTCATCTCCCTACTGTTAGGCTTCACAGTGTGTGTCCTGAGTGCAGTATCAATACCTCTTAGGATGGCTGATGAAACAGCCCCGGAGAAAGCTTGTTGAGCGTAATCTGTTGTGTGCACAGGCGACAACATTTAAGGGTTTTGAGTTTCTTCTTTGTACACAATCGTATTGTTCCCATGAAACAGTTAAGTATGAAAAATAGTCCCTCAAATTCTTATTTTCTTTTCCTTTTTTTTTCTGTTGGTGTTTGTAATGGCACAGAAACCAGCCTATAAGACACGAAGCAGCTGAATAATATACTGTCATGACTTAACGAACTCAAATTCAACGAGTGAATTCAATACTGATTCTTTCTGAACTGTGATATTTCATTGAATCTAAGATGTAATTTCTCCCCCCATTTTAGCATTTCCAAAACTGGGGTGTATCTAATAGCCGATGGCCTGTTACAGTTTACCTTGCAGTCTTTCTTGGTTATATATAAAACAAACAATATGTTCTCCTATGAAAGGTGTCTTAGGTTTTGTGATACATGATATTTGTCAAAATGCCGAAATCTTTATAGCCACTGAAGATGTCATATCTTCCTCAGGTCATCATTTTTAATTGCTATCGCTTATTTATTTTTTAAATAAGGAATGAGCTGGAGTTATCTTAAGATGTCAGAGAATCTGCAGAGCAGGAGAACTCCTTGGGAAATATGGGTGCCATGTCACCATGACACCAAAATAAATTGGGATATATCTATATCTATATCTATATATATCTATATATAGATATAGATATAGATATATCCCACATTTTGTTTATCCATTGATCAACAGACACTTGAGTTACCTCTATCGTTTGGCTGTTGTAAATAATGCATTGAACATGAGTGTGCCCACCCTCACTTTTGTCTCAATCAGTTCCTTGCTTTTCTTTGTAGTGTCCTCATTTGCATGTGTACCCTGAATAATATAGTGTTTGATTTGGGATTTGCTGAGTGGCAAGCACAGACCTTGCTCTGCAAGGAAAAGGTACAGTTCCCATGTTAGATGAAGGCACCTAGGGGAAGGTGACATGAATAAAATAGCTGGATTATAATCAGGCGTAGCTTCCCTGGGCTCTTAATGGTCCCCTCTGGGGACATTGGTAATCAAAGTCAGGACAGAGTCCCAGGAAGCACAGGGCCTCTGGCAGGGCTGAAAGGTAGGCCAGGTACTGGTTATCCAGCAGCAATATGTATGGCCAAGGGGAATGGTGAGCCGCTCTGTAATTTGGGTTTTTAAGCTTGCCTCGTCTACTTCTAGTTCTCAGGAGCTGATCACATGCGAACACTTCTGTGGGGATGAAAAGACTTTCCACAGCTGATCCACACAGCAGGGTGTGAATGGGGGAGCTGGAGCTTCATCAGAACAAGGGCAGGGGTAGCCAAGTGTGGATGAGTCTGGGCTCACCTTACCCAGGTAGTTTGCACTCTATTTGAAAATATGTTACATGGTGCACTACTTTGGATCCCTGGCCGTATTTGCTAAAACCGCATGGTCTGTGTCCTAGCAAAACCACTCCTAAATATAACCCCAACAGAAATGTGTCCATACGTTCAACTAAATGATGTGTAAGAATGCTCGTAGCAGCACTATTTACAAGAATCAAAACACTGGCTATAACCCAAATGTCCCATCAAGAGTATAATGGATAAATCACCTGGGATATATTTGTAAAATGGGATGTATTGAGCAATGGGAAGGAGCACACAGCATACAACACGGATGACTCTCACAGACATAATACTGAATGAAAGAGTCAGGCATGAAAGAATACATACTGCATGACTTTACTTATTAAAAAATTTTAAAATGGACAGAACTAACCTACGATATAAGAAGCCAGGAGAGATATTGCCCTGATTTGGAAAGGGACCCCGGAAGGGCGTCTGGGGCTTTGGTAATGTTCTGTTTCTTGATTTGGCTACCGGTTACCCACGTGTCATCAAGCTGCACACTCATGATCTGGGCAATATTCTGTATGGATGTTATATTTCAATAAAAATTTTACCTAAATGAAGATGGTACAGTGGCAATAGGCATCTTGGGGATGACAGCCTTTGGTATGTCACTCTCTTGAGTCAGTCATTCAGCCTGTACTGGTGGCCCTCCACATCTGGGGCACAGCTGCCTTCCAGAAATCTCTTTTCACCAAACGTATGTTGATTCCTTGCAGCCCTTTCCTGAATTGGATCTCTGTTTCCAATATTCCGTATTGTCTTCTTGGTGAAGCCTTTAGTTAATAGCTTCTAGAAAAAGGATGGATGGGGAGTATATTTTTCAAGACTGTGTATGTCTGAAAATATCGTTATTCTTTGTATAGAACTCTGGGTTGTAAATAATTATCCTTCAGAATTTTGAAGATATTGCTTCATTGTCTTTTAGGTTCCAGTGTTGCTGTTGAAAAGTCCCAAGCCATTCTAATTCCTGACCCTTTGTATGTGACCTGTTTTTTTTCTCTCTAGAAACGTGTTGAGTCTTTTCTTTTTCACCAGTGTTAATGAATTTCCCATTGATGCCTTTCATGATGTGTATTTGATTCACTGTTTTGAGCACTTTGTGAGACCTTTCAATCTGACAACTTTAGTTCTGGGAACTTTTCTTGAGTTGTTTTGTTGATGATTTCCTCTCTCGTTTTCTCCGTTCATTCTTTCTGAATGTTGGGCCTCTTGAACTTTTTCTCTAATTATCTTTTTTCTCATATTTTCCATGTTTTTCTTTTTGTTCCACTTTCTGGGAGATTTCCTCATCTGTATTTTCCAGCCCTCCTGTAGAGTTTTTCATTTCCCTTTTTTGTGTTTTTTTTTGTTTTTTTGTAGCATTCTGTTGTTTCATGGATACAGTTATATCTCTGAGGATATTAATGACAAATTCTTGTCTGTTTTTAGTTTTCTTCTCCCTGCACAGTCTCATTTCCTCCAAGTTGCTTCTCTCCCCGCTGCCCCATTTGTTTTGGCCTTATTTTCCACGTTAGAAACTTTCCTTGAGTTCCTGGTAGACCTTGGTTATCTCCTAATGTTTAGAGTGGAGGGACTGAAAAGCTGACTGGCGGTTCTGAAGGTGAGGGTCAGGCCTGTAGGCATAGAGCTCCACTGAGGGTGACCCTGGTGGGCCATCTATTGGGAACCTGTGATTTCAGGAATTTTAGTTCTTTCCCTGTTTCCAGGGCTGGTCATTCTCCTCCAGGAAGTGTCTTCTAATCTGCCTAGAAGGTAACAGTCTGGTTGGCAGTGTTCCGAGAGCCAGGTAGGGGAAGAGGACGGGGGTGGCTCTCTGTCAAGCATTTATCCTGTTTTTAGGCACCACCCCTGCTCCATTTTGCTGTGGCAGCCCTGCTCACCTGTGCCTGCTGTCCTCTGTCCAGAGACCTTTTGTGTTGCCCTCAAAAGAGAGGGCTCCCAGATGTGTGATGGGAGGTGGACGGGAGGACAGCTGTGCAGGAGCAGCGCGGGTGGGACCTAGCTGCTGCTTCCACAGCTTTCATTCCTTCTTCTTGATTTCCCCCCAGTTCTTGAGTCTTTTGAGGATTACGTGACATAAGCTGGGTGATTCCTCATTGCCCGCTTGGCGTTCTTGGGTCTGCTAAGTTTGTTACCATCCTGCATTCCTGATTCCAAAATTGTGTTGTTATGGTTTCTTGTGCTGTCCTCTCTGTCCTTGAGGATTTGTCTCCTTAAAAAATCCATTTACTGTAGTTTTATGGTGGTTTTGGAGTTAGACGAGTGTTAGGTCAATCGTTCTACCTGGAAAAACATCAGCATCAGTAATAGCCAATAGTGTTGCTCACCTGGCGTCAGTCACCATTCTAAGTGCTTTGAGTAATTCATTCTTCGAACCTTGGAAGTCTGAAAAACATATTTTTTTGTCAACTCTCAGAAAAAAAAATCAGTTGGAAATTAAGACTGAATCACCTCTAATAAGTTCACTCAGAGGAAGAGAACAGCAGACCAGCAGAGGAGACATATGCTTCTCTCACTTTTCTTTCACTTCATTGCTTTTCCTCTTCTGATATATATATATATATATATATATATATATATATATATTTTTTTTTTTTTTTTTTTTTTTTTTTTC